GACCTCGTGATCCACCCGTCTCGGCCTCCCAAAGTGCTGGGATTACAGGCTTGAGCCACCGCGCCTGGCCATACCACAACCTTGAAAAGTGCACACTGTCATTCCATTTTATAGCTGGGAAAACGGAGACTCAAGGTCATGAGACTTATCTAAGGTGATTTAGGTCTTTCTGGCACAAAAATCCACACCTTTTCCATTGCCCCTTTTCAGACATAAAAAACAAACAAACAAACAAACAAAAAAACTGCAAAAGCAATCCAGTTCATCGCAGAAATTTCCAACAATACAGAAAGATAAAAAATGAACAGCAAAAGTATCCTCAACCGGTGTCCCCTCTCCAAGAGGAAACCTCCTTAGCAGTTTTCTTGCTTATTCAACCAGTGCTGTCTAGGGGCCTCTCTGGACTCGGTTCTGATGACAGCCCTGGGAGGTGGGCTGGGACTGAATGAGCCCACTGTGGGGCTCAGAGTGGTTAAGGCCTTCCGGGGGGCCTAAGCCCCTCAGGCGGCAGGGTGAGAAACTCCCAAAAGCTCACCCAAACCACGCTCCCATCCCTGGGGGTGCAGTTCTTCCTCCTCTCATCTACGCACACGTCTCCCATTTCCCCTAACTGGAAAGTCTCATGCTTGACAATCACAGGGAAGCAGGCAGCGCCCGCTAAAATCCAGATGCCTGTGAACAGACCGCGCCATAGCCATTCACACCCCAGTGGGTGCTGGCTTATTGGATTTAACTGGCAGCCTCTGAGGTAGGCAGGGTGGGCTATACAGGGCGTCTAGGAAGACTGACAGGTCACGGCGGAGACAGGGCTGGCCTCCCTGGCCGCATCTCCTAAGGTCCAGGGTTCCCCTCAGCATCTCCTGGGGCTTGCCGAGATGGGTGGAGACTTGGGTTATGATGGGCGGGGCCTGAGGACGGAGTGGGCGGAGCCCGGGTGGGCTCACGGCGGCCACGCCCCTCGCCCAGGACGGCTACATTGATTTCATGGAGTATGTGGCGGCGCTCAGCCTGGTCCTCAAGGGGAAGGTGGAACAGAAGCTCCGCTGGTACTTCAAGCTCTATGATGTAGACGGCAACGGCTGCATTGACCGCGACGAGCTGCTCACCATCATCCAGGTGCAGAGGGCCCGGCCAGGGCTGGGGGCAGCGGCCTGGGTGGGACCCGGAGCTGAGAGCCCAGGGTTAGAACGGCAATCTCAGGATTGAGACAGGATGTGGGACTGAGGATCCTAGTGGCAGCTGTGGACCTCACCAGCTGCGTGACCCAGGCCACGTTCCTTCCCTTCCTGGGCCTCAGTTTCCTCATCAATACCAAAAGAAGATAGAAGTTTGACTCTTGAGTCCCAGCTCTGCCTAGGCCCCCGGGTACCCTGCACTCTACTCCTCATTGCTCCTGGGAGTCGCACAAGCTCTGACCGTCCCCACTCCCACCCCTGAGATAGGATAAGGATGGGCCCCTCTCACTTCTGCCGCTTCTTCCCTCCCAGGCCATTCGCGCCATTAACCCCTGCAGCGATACCGCCATGACTGCAGAGGAGTTCACCGATACAGTGTTCTCCAAGATTGACGTCAACGGGGATGGTGAGCGGGCCGAGGAGGGGCTCCCCAGTGGAGGGGTCACCATGGATGTGGGGTCATGAGGGGTGGAAGGTCACTAGAGGAGAGGGGAAGGAGGGGAGGAGGAGGCCCAAAGGTCCCCGGGCTAGTCATCTCCTCCACCTGCCCCAGCCACAAAGTTGGCTTTTAGGGGCCCCTGGACCAGAATCTGGGCTCTGGGTGCCTCTGCCTGCTGCACCTGCAGGTCGCTTCTCCTCGCCTGGGCTCTGTCCCTGCCCCTGGCAAGAACCCGGTTCTGTGCTCTGGACTGCAGAAATGAACACCCTCCTCCCCCTGATTCCCTTTCTCTCTACCCCAGGGGAACTCTCCCTGGAAGAGTTTATAGAGGGCGTCCAGAAGGACCAGATGCTTCTGGACACACTGACACGAAGCTTGGACCTTACCCGCATTGTGCGCAGGCTCCAGAATGGCGAGCAAGATGAGGAGGGGGCTGACAAGGAGGCCGCTGAGGCAGCCGGCTGAGCGCACCGCCCAGCTGCTTCTGCACTAGCGGGTGGGGTGGTATGGTGGTGACTGGTGGTGTTGCTCTTGTCTTAACCCTAGATAGAATGTACTAAACTCAGAGGCTTAGCTCGCCTCTTTGGGGTACATGGTGGCAGCAGAGAGGCAGCAGTGGGAGGCCAGAGCCAGGAACAGTGAAGGATGGTTCCTGGCCCCTCTGAGTGACAGCTGACTGCAGCACTCCCTGCTGGGGGCACTGTTCAGCATCCCTCTGCTGTCTGGTGACCCCCTAGCCCTTCTGGCTCCTCTCCCAGTTTTTCCCAGCTTTCTCCACTGAGCTTCTCCATGCTCTTCTGGATGTGGACTCTCTGAGGCAGAGCTGAACTTTCCCAGGCCTCTTACGGAATCCTGCAGATCCGGTGGCTGCAGCTTCAATCTCAGTGCTGCAATCACACATCCATTCTGCCCCGGGGACCCTGGAGCCTACTTGTGTGCTTTGCATTTGATTCACGCCTCCCTTCAACAAGCATTTACTGAGCGCCTACTGTGTACTAATGCTAGATGTTAGATGTACAGAGAAGACAGTTTTCATCCTCAAGGAACTCATAGGCTAATGGTGAGACCTACAGACAAACATCATTATAATAAAACATGCTAAGAGAACTTATGAACAGATTTCTGTAGGAGACACCTATAGGCGTCTGACTCAGAGACAGCATCACAGAGGTGGCGTTTGACTTTGAACACGAAAGAGTGCTTTGGGGCTGAATGTGGAGAAGAAGGTGATGCATGTGGGGTGGTTGGAGGTGCATTCTCTGTGATGTATGTGTCACATGTGGGGGGCTGTGTGATGTGGACAGGAGCATTCTTAGGTGCAAATTTGGGGTATCCCTTGGAATTTAAATTTTACCAAATTTAAAACAGTAAGAATCACCATATCTGTTTTTAGGGAGTACCTCCTAGGTCCCCAGTAAGGGAAAACAAGCAAACACAGCTCCTTCAAGAGATTTATAATCCTACTAGCAAGATAAGGATGGGATGTTTTGCCAGGTGTGGTGGTAAATGCCTGTAATCCCCAGTACTCAGGAGGCTGAGGTGGGAGGATCGCTTGAGCCGAGGGGTTCAAGACAAGCCGAGGCAACACAGTGAAACCCCTCTTCAAAAAGGAAAAAGGGGGCTGGGAGCGGTGGCTCATGCCTGTAATCCCAGCACTTTTGGAGGCCGAGGTGGGCAGATCACCTGAGGTCAGGAGTTCGAGACCAGCCTGGCCAACGTGGTGAAACCCCACCTCCACTAAAAATACAAAAATTAGCTGGATATGGTGGCGGGCGCCTGTAATCCCAGCTACTTGGGAGGCTGAGGCAGGAGAATTGCTTGAACCCGGGAGGCAGAGGTTGCAGTGAGCCGAGATCACACCACTGCACTCCAGCCAGGACAACAGAGTGAGACCCTGTCTCAAAAAAATAAACAAATAAATAAAAAGAAAAAAAGGGTGGAATATTTAGATGACAATGTAGATCTGAATCTGAATGCACGTGCATGCATTCACTCTGGGAAGGTTTGGTGTTAGCCAAAACGTGAAAGAGGGTGGGTGGTTCTGCAGAAAATCCTCATTTCTTGAGAAGAAATCCATATTTTTTCAGAAGAGCCTGCACAAGTCCCTCATACTTCCCCTCCTTGGTGACATATGGTGCTCCATGGCTCCCCACAGATCTGCGACTCATTGCTCATTGCAAATAATCTATCCCTGGTCTAACCTAAATCCCTCTTGCTGCAGTGACACCTGATACCAGTTGGGAAGTGGGACAGTCTGTTACAGGTGGGCCCCATCCGCATCTTTGCACATCTCAACTTTAAGAATACCCAACTCAGGCTGGGCGCGGTGGCTCACGCCTGTAATCCCAGCACTTTGGGAGGCCGAGGTGGGCGAATCACAAGGTCAGGAGATCGAGACCATCCTGGCTAACACGGTGAGCCCCGTCTCTACTAAAAGACAAAAAAATTAGCCAGGCGTGGTCACGGGTGCCTGTGGTCCCAGCTGCTCTGGAGGTTGAGGCAGGAGAATGGTGTGAACCTGGGAGGCAGAGCTTGCAGTGAGCCAAGATCACGCCACTGCACTCCAGCTTGGGCTACAGAGCGAGAATCCGTCTCAGAAAAACAAAGCAAAACAAAACAACAGCAATGAATAACCCAACTCAGAGATCTATCTCTACCTGTCCAAGGCAGGTTTTCTTGGTTCTGTCCCTGAATTACAGCTACCTGGTTGCTGCAGGAACCTGGGGAGACACAGAGGCTAGAGCAATTGTGACCATTTTTTCAAAGATGCTCTTTCTTCTGGGCTTTGAGTCTTCACTTCAGCTGGGTGTGGGGGAGGTGTGTGGAGTAAATGAAAATTCAGGAGAGGAAGCCAGGCATGGTGGCTTAATGCCTGTAATCCCAGCACTTTGGGATGGGTGCTGAGGTGGGTGGATCACTTGAGCACAGAAATTTGTGACCAGCCTGCCCAACATGGTAAAACCCTGTCTTTACAAAAAAAATAGAAAAATTAGCTGGCCTTGGTGGTGTGCACCTGTGGTCCCAGCTACTCAGGAGGCTGAGGTGGGAGAATCGCTTGAGCCTGGGGGTGGAGGTTGCAATGAGCCAAGATTGCGCCACTGCACTCCAGCCTGGGTAACAGAGCCAGATCCTGTCTCCAATAAATAAATACATAAATACATTCAGGAGTGGGAGAGAGAAAATGAGGGGAAAAATAAGTAAAATACCAAGTCAGAGAGTGCCCCACTGGGCGGATGACGGGGTGCATTTTGCTCATGTCCTGTCCACCACTTGGACCTCCCCAGACAAGGAAGTCAGCCAGGGCCTGAGCAACAGACATGGAAGGAAGGTAGAGGTAGAGGTCGTTCTGTCTGAACGTTGGTTCAGACAGAAAGAAAAAGGGAGTTGACATTTCTGCTCCTTTGGCTGGCTGCCTGTCGGGAAATCCTGAAGGTCAGAGTTGGGAAGGTGTCTGCATGTAATTAGGACATCCCTCAATGTCATGCACATACCTTCTTCATAATTTGGGGCATATGTGTTGTACCTGGATACACACACACACACACACACACACACACACACACAAGCACATAATATTTTTTGAGATGAGTTCTTTTTTATTTTTTTTTTGAACGAGGTCTCACTGTGTCCCCCAGGCTGGAGTGCCAGTGGTGCGGATCTTCGCTCAACGTGCAAGCTCCGCCCCACCGGTCACGCCAATTCCACCCGCCTCAGCCTCCCAAAGTAAGCTGGGACTACAGGCCGCCCGCTCCCACGCGGCGTTTTTGTATATTTTAGTACGAAGACACGGGGTTTCCACCAATGTAGCCCAGGAAGTCTCGATCCTGACGCTGTGATCGACACCCCCTCGGCCATCCCAACAGTGCGTGGGAATTGTAACAGGCTTGAGCCAGCCGCAGCCTCGCCTGAGATGGGAGTTTCACTCTGTTTGCCCAAGCTGGAGTGCCAGTCGGCACTCCACAATGGGCGATCCTTTGGCTCACCGCTACCTCGCCTTCAAGGTTCAACGCGTTTTCCTGCCTCAGCTCTCACCCAGTAGCCTGGTTAGAGGTCATGCCACCACACCCTGGCTCATTTTGTAGCTTAGTACGAGACGGGTTTCCATCCACAAGTTGGTCAGGCTGTCTCAAACTCCTGACCTCAGGTGTCCGCTCCACCGTCATCCTCCCAAAGTCTGGGATTATAGGCCATGAGCCACCCACCTTGGCCCTCGCCTTGCTTTGCTTTGCTTTTTCTCCGTTCTTCCCTTCCTTCCTTCCTTCCTATGTCTCTGTCCTTCCTTCCTGTCTTCCTTCCTTCCTTCTTCCTTCCTTCCTTCTCCTTCCTTTCTTGTCTTTCCTCGCCTTCCTTCCTATCCTTCCTTTCCTCTTTCCTCTTTCTTTCTTTTTGTTTGACTGGAATCCTCATACTTGTTTACCCAAGGCTGGAGTTGCAATAGCGTGATTCTTGCTCACTGCAACGCCAGCTTCCAGGTTCCAGGGATTTTCCTGCCTTCCGGCCTCACAATTTAGCTGGGATTACAGCACTGGCTCGCACCGCGCGAGTTTTTTTTTTTTTTTTTTGTATTATATAGTAGGATGGGTTCCACGCATGTTGTCCAGGCTGGTCTGAACCTCACCTAGGTTGATCCCACTCCCTCATTGGATTACGGATGTGAGCTGCGCTGCTGTGCGCAATTTTTTTCTAGAATCATTTTTTACAAATTGGTTCTAAGAATCTTTAAATGAATATATATGAAATAGCACGCTATGGAAGTCACAGGTTTATACGTAGTTTTATTCTTTATACACCCAACATAACGAACCGACACATCTATTCAAGATCAGCAATGTGTTTTCAAGGTCCTCACTTTAAACTGTCCTTATAGGAGTAACAGTGGACCCCAGGAACGCTAGTTTTCAGTTTGCCTTTTTTTCAGAGTGCCTCCAGTTCCAAGAGGGTACTCAAGACCCCCTTTCAACCAGAGAGACCCTTTTAATCTAGTTTTCTATACTGGTCCACATAAAGTTATATACACAAAAAAATAAATCCACATCTAAAACATATAATAATCCAAAACAATGCATTGCCTACAGTCGCCTGCTCACCGTGCGGCTGAACATGAACGAGGAGTGAGGGAGGAGAAGTGGCTGTCTTGGGTCCCACACAGCCAATTAGACAAAGCAAAGTCCGGCCATGAACCCCAAGTCAACAGGCCCCCATTCTCGCCAGAGATCAGGAGTTTTCTCCATCCTTTAAAGAGAAACTTCAGCCTTATGGCTGGGACTTGTGAAAGTCCATAGCGGGGGATGTTGATGGAAAG